GTGGGGGGTGGGGGGGGGGGGGGGTGTTTCGCGAGGCGGCGGCCATTGGCGGAGCGAGCAGCGGTCACGTGATGGGCGCGGCGGGAAAAAAGGGCGGGAGGGCGTCACGTGACTGGGCGGAACCAATCCCCGCGGGGGGGCGGTGACAATTCTGTGAGGGGAAATTCGGCCACGCCCCCTTTGTGCTGGGCCACGCCCCATAAAACGCAAATTAGACCACACCCATTTCTGCCAACACCTTATAAGGAAAGGTCACGCCTCTTCAGGCCAGACCACGCCCCAATTTCTATTTATGGGCAAAGGGGCGTGGCTTGTGAGGGGTTTAACGAGAAGGCGGGGCTTGTTTAAAAGGGGGCGTGGTCATGTGAGTAGTGGGCGTGGCCAGGGACTGGGACCCCCCCAATCTGGTGTTGCTGGGGGGTCCCGTGAGGGAGGGGCGTGGCCAGGTGTGAGGTGGGCGTGGTTTGGGGCAATGTGGGCGTGGCCAGGGACCGGGACCCCCCCCAATCTGGTGTTGCTGGGGGGGGTCTGTGAGGAAGGGGCGTGGCCAGCCCTGAAGTGGGCGTGGCCAAGGACTGGGACCCCCCAATCTGGTGTTGCTGGGGGGGTCTGTGAGAAAGGGGCGTGGCCAGGTGTGTTGTGGGCATGGCCATGAGGAAGGGGGCGTGGCCAGGTGCAGCCAGGTGAGGTTCAGGTCCCCGGCAGTGCCCCCGGACCTGACGCCGGAAGAGCGGCGGGAACTGGAATCCATCCGGCGCCGGAAGCAGGAGCTGCTGGGGGAGATCCAACGGCTCCGCGACGAACTCAGCGAGGCCATCAGCGAGGTCGAGGGGCTCGAGGCCAACGAGGGCAGGTGAGGAGGCTCAAAAATTCCCAAAAATCCCCGAAAATTCCCAAAAATTCCCCAAAACCCCCCAAAATTCCTCCAAATTCCCTAAAATTCCCACCCGGGAGCATCAAATTCCCAAAAATTCCCAACTGGGACCCACGAATTCCCAGAAATTTCCACCTGAGAGCCCCAAATTCCCAAAATTTCCCCAAAATTCCGACCCAGGAGCATCAAAAAACAAAAAAATCCCACTTGGAGCATCAAAAACCTCAAAAATTCCCAAAAATTCCTCAAAATTCCCCAAAATTCCAACCCAGGAGCATCAAAAAACAAAAAAATTCCACTTGGATCATTAAAAATCTCAAAAATTCCCCAAAATTCCCCAAAATTCCTCAAAATTCCCCAAAATTCCAACCCAGGAGCATCAAAAAACAAAAAAATTCCACTTGGATCATTAAAAATCTCAAAAATTCCCCAAAATTCCCCAAAATTCCTCAAAATTCCCCAAAATTCCAACCCAGGAGCATCAAAAAACAAAAAAATTCCACTTGGAGCATCAAAAACCTCAAAAATTCCCAAAAATTCCCCAAAATTCCCAAAAATTCCCAAAAATTCCAACCCAGGAGCATCAAAAACCAAAAAAATTCCACTTGGAGCATCAAAAAACTCAAAATTTCCCCAAAATTCCCAAAAATTTCCAAAAATTCCAACCCAGGAGCATCAAAAAACAAAAAAATCCCACTTGGAGCATCAAAAACCTCAAAAATTCCCAAAAATTCCCCAAAATTCCTCAAAATTCCCAAAAATTCCTAAAAATTCCTCCCAGGAGCATCAAAAATTTAAAAAAATCCCACTTGGATCATCAAAAAACTCAAAAATTCCCCAAAATTACCACTTAGGAACCCCAAATTCCCAAGAATTCCCCCCAAATTCCTCCCTGGAGCTCCCAAAATTCCCAAAAATTCCCCAAAATGCCCCAAAATTCCCCAAAAATGCCCAAAATTCCAGCAAAACGCTGCAGAGGAACCGGAAAATGGGGATGGGACGCAAGAAGTTCAACATGGATCCCAAAAAGGTGAGCGGGAATTCCGGGAATTCCGGGAATTTTGGGAATTTTGGGAATTTGGGGGGGAATTTTGGGAATTTTGGGGAATTTGGGGAATTTTTGGGGAATTTGGGGAATTTTTGGGGAAATTTGGGGAATTTTGGGGGAAATTTTGGGAATTTTTGGGAATTTTTGGGGAAATTTTGGGAATCTTGGGGGGAATTTTGGGAATTTTTGGGGGGAATTTTGGGAATTTTTGGGAATTTTTGGGAATTTTGGGGGGGAATTTGGGTTTCCCAAGGGATGAAATTTGGGAATTTGGGGGGAATTGAGAATCAAAAATGTGAATTTTTGCTCGTTTTTAATGCAAAAAATGCGATTTTTCCCTATAAAAAATGGGAATTTTGGGGGTTTTGGGTGTGGAATTTTGGGAATTTGGGGAATTTTTGGGAATTTGGGGAATTTTTGGGATTTTTTGGGAATTTGGGGGGAATTGAGGATCAAAAATGGGAATTTTTAATGTAAAAAACGCAAATTTTCGCTACAAAAATCGGGAATTTTGGTGGTTTTGGCTGGGGAATTTTGGGAATTTTTGGGAAATTTTGGGAATTTTTGGGAATTTTGGGAATTTTTGGGAATTCGGGGAAATTTGGGGAGTTCAGGGTCTTTTGAGGTCCAATAAAGTGAATTTTTAATGTAAAAAAAATGCAATTTTTTGATATAAAAGTCGGGAATTTTGGTGTTTTTGGCCGGGGATTTTTGGGAATTTTTGGGAATTTGGGGAATTTTTGGGAATTTGGGGAATTCTGTCCATTCCCAGGGGATCCAGTTCCTGGTGGAGCAGGAGCTGCTGCGGCACACGGCCGAGGACATCGCCCGCTTCCTCTACAAGGGGGAGGGGCTGAACAAAACGGCCATCGGGGACTACCTGGGGGAGAGGTACTGGGGGAACTGGGACGGACTGGGACGGACTGGGATGGACTGGGAGGGAACTGGGAGGGACTGAGATGGACTGGGAGGGACTGGGATGGACTGGGAGGGAACTGGGAGGGAACTGGGACAGGCTGGGAGAGACTGGGATGGACTGGGAGGGACTGGGAGGGACTGGGAGGGACAGTGTAATAGGGGCGTGGCCAGTGGTGATTGACAGTGCAATAGGGGCGTGGCCAGTGGTGATTGACAGTGCAATGGGGGCGTGGCCGGGGGTGATTGACAGTGCAATGGGGGCGTGGCCGGGGTGATTGACAGCGCAATGGGGGCGTGGCCGGGTGTGATTGACGGTGCAATGGGGGTGTGGCCAGGGGTGATTGACAGTGCAATGGGGGCGTGGCCGGGGGTGATTGACAGTGCAATGGGGGCGTGGCCGGGATGATTGACAGCGCAATGGGGGCGTGGCCAGGGGGGTTGACAGCGCAATGGGGGCGTGGCCGGGATGATTGACAGCCCGGCCCCGCCCCTCAGGGAGGAGTTTAACCTGGGCGTGCTCCACGCCTTCGTGGACCTGCACGAGTTCACCGACCTGAACCTGGTACAGGCGCTCAGGTGAGCACAGCTGGATACACCTGGAATACACCTGGGAACACCTGGACACAGCTGGGGGGGCTGGGGACACACCTGGACACACCTGGGACATACCTGGGATACACCTAGAATACACCTGGATACACCTGGACACACCTGGACACACCTGGGGTACACCTGGGAACACCTGGAAACACCTGGACACACCTGGGGTGGATGGGGATACACCTGGACACACCTGAGACACCTGGGTACACTTTGGGGGGCTGGAGACACACCTGGACACACCTGGGACACACCTGGACACACCTGGACACACCTGGACACACCTGGGATACACCTGGACACACCTGGGATACACCTGGACACACCTGGGACCCTCCCAGGTGGATTTTGGGATGTCCCGGGTGGATTTTAGGGAATTCCAGGTGGATTTTTGGGAATATTCCAAGTGTATTTTTTGGGGAATTCCGGGTGTATTTTTGGGAACATTCCGGGTGTATTTTTTGGGAATTCCGGGTGTATTTTTTGGGAATTCCGGGTGTATTTTTGGGAATGTTGCAGGCAGTTCCTGTGGAGTTTCCGGCTGCCGGGGGAGGCGCAGAAGATCGATCGGATGATGGAGGCGTTCGCCCAGCGCTACTGCCTCTGCAACCCGGGGGTGTTCACCTGCACAGGTAACAACACCTGGATACACCTGGACACACCTGGGGACACCTGGACACACCTGGGGACACCTGGGGACACCTGGGGACATACCTGGGGACAGCTGGGGGCACCTGGGGACACCTGGGGATACCTGGGGATACCTGGGGACACCTGGGGGCATAGAGACACACCTGGACACACCTGGGACACACCTGGGGACACCTGGGGACATAGAGACACACCTGGACACACCTGGGACACACCTGGATACACCTGGGACACACCTGGA